CCTGCGGGGGGTCTCACTGCCCTCCGGCTCCAGCGTGAGGGCTGCGTGGCCCTCCCCGCGTGCAGTCCTCTCTCCTCTTCCTTACTCTCCCTGTTCCCTCTTCCCTTTCTCCCCTCGGCCCCTCTCCTCCCCGGAGCTGTTTATTGCAACATAAATTTAGGCCTCGGCTCTTAAGTCCCCAGGAGGAAAGGAGTTATATAGAAAAGTGGTAGAGCCTAAAATTAAATTGCTGTGCATTACTCACATCCTAGAAAAAAGTTATCTTTAGACTACGACCCAAAATTGAAAAATATAAACAACTTAAAAATTGCTTGGAGCGTTGGTAGGTGTTTATCCTTGAGGTTTCAACATAAATGAGTGCTGTGTCCCTTCAACCTTAATAAACCTCAGTGTTCTTGCAATGCATTTCTTCCTGTGTCAACGCGGCTTTAAAAAAGCTTAATGAGCAATTGCATTGATTTTACTTCTGGCGTTTTGTTTCTAAAGCTTAAGAGAAGCAAACATGATGCCACTAAGTAAATGAGAAAATATTTGTATGTTCTGGAAGTTCAGTGCTGCTTTTCTGCTGGCGCACTGGTGGGAAGCGGGGCTGGATGCCAGCAGAGGTCCAGATTCGGTCCTGACCCCGGTATCATCACCTGCCCAGGCCGGCTCCTCACCACAGCAGGCCCAGCGGTGGGGGCCCAGGGGCCGGGCGGGCCTGGGCTCCGGGCCCTACAGCCTGTCAGGGCAGCCGGTTCTCCTCAGACCAGTGCTCCCCCCAGATCAAAGGCCGCTGTTACCTGCTGAATTTTGTTTCTTCACAGTCTGCTTTTTCCTCATACTTGGTGAATTTCCCTTTCTTCTCTCACTTTAAAATTTCAGATGTTTTGGAAATAAATAACACATGCACAGGGCAGAAAATTCAGAAGATACAAAGGAGTGAAAAGTAAGTCTCCTTCCCACTCTCTGTCGCCAGTTTCCAGGTTCCGAAGGTGCCCCAAGAGTATGTGTGTGTGTGGTGTGTGGTGTGTGTGTGTGTGTGTGTGTGTGTGTGTGTACATTTTAAAGTATCACTTTATATGTATACGTTATGTAACACCTTGTCTTGTAACACAACGGCATCCTGCCGTCCACACTGCAGGCACCCTGCCGTCTCCGCCTGTGCGCAGCGAGGGGCTGTGTGCCCGAGGCGGGCGTACAGCTGCCCCCTCCCCGTGCTGGGTGTTCTTACATCGTTTTATCGAACTAGTTGCCTATCGGTGGATGTCGGGATGGAACTGCTGGGTCGAATTTAAAATGCAGACAGCAAATACCTGGTTGTCCCGATTCATACCTCTGCTCTATGAGAACGACCCCCCCTTGCCAGGAGAGCCTGATGGGCACCCCCAAAATAGATAGTTTTCTCGGCACTGTTTTAATACGCAGTTCACTTACGGTGCCTGAATTGGGCGTCTCTCCGTGTCCCACGGACCTGAGTCATCCCAGCCTCCCTCCCCGGCAAGCGGCCCAGCCTCTGTTCCTCGTTTCCTTACACGTTTTTCTTCCGGTTTGCAGGAGCTCTTTAGAAAATGAGCCCTTTGGGACGTGGGTGACATCTCCCAGTTTGCCCCTGTATTTTTCTAATTTTATTTTACTTTTTATTTTGCCAACAAGAAATGACACATAATCGTGTAATTGAATTTATCAGTCTTGTCTTTTACGGCTTTGCGGGTCTGTGAGCTACTCTCCACTCTCCATTCCAAGACTGTAAGTACAATTGGCCCTGATTTTTATGTGTTTGTGGTTGTATTTTTACATTTAAATCTTTGAGTTTATTTGTATATACAAGTGAGATAGAACTGTATTTTTTTCCAGCTGGCCACTCAGTTGTCCCAAACTATTTATGGCATGATCCAACTCTCCCCGAAAAGGAAAAAGCCACCTTATAATCCAGATTTCTGTTTTACGTTCTATCCTATCCACCTAAGTGGTCCTTTCTGTGCTTTTCAATACTTCAATACAGTCCGTTTCCCCGTCCATCCTCCTTCAGAATTCTGACTGTTCTTAGCCTTAAACACCATGTCTGCGTCCAAGCTTATGGCTGCAGGGGTGACCACGCTCCCCCCTTCCCCCCCATACACAGGTCCTAGAGCGTCACCACTGAGAAACCAATCCTGTCCTCCCGCATACATTCTGCACCAATCCTGTCCCCCCCCTCCCTGCACCAATCCTGTCCTCCCCTCCCCCCCCAACACCTACACAGAAGAGCTTGTGAGCTTCCACGCCCACTGGTTTTCCCAGCCTCCCCATTACTCGGGAGCTGGTGAGAAGCGGTCAGAGGCCAGGAGAGCAGGGTCGCTGGCCTGGCTGTGGCGGGAGAGGGCAGGGCCAGCGTCAGCGCCCAGCGACGGGCAGGCCTGACCAGCGCCCATGCCTAGAAGACTGTCCTCCCTTCAGAGTGCAAGCCCCCGTCCACTCGCCGGTGCCAAGACCACGCCGAGTAATGCAGATGCCGGCTCAGCGCCTGGCACACACGGGGCCCCCGCCCCCGGGCCCGGGCCGCTCTCGGCCGCGTGTTCTTGTCCACGACCTCCCGGAGCCGCTCCCTCCTCCCTGTTGCTCTTGGATCTTTCCGAGGAGGCAGGGGTGTCAGTCCCCAGGAAAGGTGGTAACTCAGTTCAACTCATTTACACTCTGCCCCTCTGGGCACAGAAAACTCAACAGGTCTAGTACTGACTTGACTTCCTTCCAAAACACTTGCCCCTCATTCGCTTTTTCCATTTTGCTTAAATACCGTCAACAATCCAAGTCGGCAACGAGGGCGATGTCCCCCAGGAGGTCCTGAAAAATCACTGCTGTCTTTCCACCCACAGCCCAGCCTGGGAGGCACCGTAGGAGACGCAGAGGTGGCGCTTCTGTCTGGCGAGGCCAGGCTGTCGTTTTGAGAGATCTTCCTCATGCTCTACAGCGTCAGAGGTGTAGCGGGAGGCGGGCGGGGGCAGGCTCATAGGGAAGTCCCCCCTTCCGGGCTGTGGGAATGAATGCGGGAAGAAAGAGGGAAAGCAAGTGGAGGAAGGCCCCAGAAGGAAGGCTTCAACCTGTGCGTCCGCAGGGCATCAGGTGAGTGAAGAGACAGGAAGGCAGGAGGGAGTTCTGGGCCCACCGACCCTGGGGGGGGGGCACCTCCCCACAAGTGACCTTGGTTCTCTGCACAGTGGCCGGGGGAGGGAAGACCCACTGACCAGCAGATGGAGGCTGGGAGAAGCCTAGATTGGTGTGAGACAAAATCATTACATTTTCTCTGCACATCTTTTTTTTTTTTAAGGTTTCTTCTTTATTTTTGAGAGAGAGAGTGTGAGCAGGGGAGGGCAGCGAGGGAGGGGGGACAGAGGACCTGAAGTGGCCTCGAACAGCAGAGTCTGATGTGAGGCTTGAATTCACAAACCATGAGACCGTGACTTGAGCCAAGGTCTGATGCTCGACCGACTGAGCCAGCCGGGTGCCCCTCACAGCCCCCCGCATCCATCCATCCATCTATCTATCTACCTACCTACCTACCTACCTACCTATCTAGAGAGCACGGAGGAGGGGCAGAGAGAGAGGGAGAGAGGGGTCCAAGCAGGCCCTACTCTGTCAGCATGGAGCTGATGGGGGCTCCATCCCATGAACCCTGAGACCACGACCTGAGCCAAAATCAAGAACCAGATGCTTAACCAACTGAGCCACCAGGCACCTCTCTCTGCACACGTTAACAGCTGTGTGGACGACAGCCTTGAGCCATTACACCTTTTCTACTCTTCCCTTCTCCCTCACAGACTCATCATGCATCCAACCCTGTGGCTTTAACTTCTGTAAGTAGTATCTTTCAAACTGACCCTCATCTCATTTGCTGCCTGATTTCACACCCTAACTGCCTTCTGCCGGAAGGACGGCCTGCATTTGCCCGGTGTCCCCCCTGCAATCCAGCCCGCATCAGGGATGTGTCCCCCAAACACAGTGCGGCCACACGACTTCCTTGATCAAAAACACACCCTTCAGGACACACTCCAAACTCGCAGCGTTGCTGATTCGCCCCCTGCAGGCTCCTCTCCTGCCACCCCAGCCACGCCCACCCGCACTTCCGGTTCCCCCCCCCCCAAGCACTCCTGCCCCCTGGACCACCCTCTTCTGGCTCTTTCACTGAGGCCTCTTCCGTGTGTGCGGCAGGGGGAGGCTCCCTCCCTGCCCAGCCACCTGTGAGCCCCTGACGGTGCCGGAACTCAGCCGCGACAGCAGGGAAGGGACGCTCACAGACGTGCTGGGAACGCTCCCGCCACACAAGCCCCGAACACCCCAGCCACCCTGCTTCGCACGCCGCTCCTCTCTTCCGGGACGACGTCTTTCCAGGCCAATCTCAGAATTACGGCCGTTCTCCAAAACACCTGTCCAGTGCCGTTTGGGTCCCCCTCACCACGTCACACTCTCCAGCTTTCACGTCACATCGTGTTCCGCCCTGTGCTACGGTTTCGTTCCCAGGTACACCCCCCCCCGTGCACTCGGAGGATGGCTTCCGAGGGGCCCACGCCCAGCGGCGCCTGGCCCACCACAGGCGTTCCAGAACCGTCCGTCGCACTGCCACGCTACAAAACCCGTACAAAACCCTCTAAAACTGAATGAAGAAGCACGTGGCTTGGGCCCCTGTGTAACCCGTGGGACTAGACCCCTGGCAAAGAGCAGGAGCTCGAGAAACGTCTGCTCCACACCGGAGGGTGAAAGGGTAAGTAACGGGAAGCCTTCCTGCAAGGGAGGCGACGCGGCCTTCGCGGCAGTGAACTGCTCCCAGCCCCGGCTCCGCACCCGCCCCGCCCCCCGCACCTGCCCCTCGTCGCCCCCTCGGCCCCGCCCCGTCCCCCTCCCGGGCCCACCTGCTCCCTCCGCCCCACCCGCCGCCGCCCGCCGGCCCCGCCCCGCCCCGCCGCGCCCCGCCCTCCGCTCCCGCGCCCCGCCCGGCCCGCCCGGCCCACCTGCCCCGGCCGCCCCGCCCGGGCCCCGCCGCTCACCTGTAGGCCCACGGCGACACGCTGCGCAGGTTGGTGGGCGGCCGGAAGCGCCGGTCGCCGGGCCTGCCCCCTGCCGGGCAGCTCGCGTTGCGCGCCTGCTCGCGCGGCCCCAGCTGCAGCGTGTGGTGGAAGGCGCCCAGCACGCCGGCCGCCAGCCGCCCGTACAGCTGCTCCAGGAGCTCCTCGGGCCGCTCGGCGCAGCCCCGCGGCCGCGCCGGGCGCCTGCTCGCCCTCAGGGCGCCCGCGGCCCGGCCCGGCGCCAGCGCCAGCAGAACGCCGACCGCCAGCATCCAGACCTGCGAGACAGGCCGCGCTCAGCGCCCGCCCGCCCGCCTCCCCTCCCCCCGTCGCGCCGCGGACCCTGAGGCCGGCCCGGAGGATGGGCGCGGACCAGACGGGCCCCCGAGCGCCGCCTCCGCCCGCCCGCCGCCCCAGGGGGCCCCGGGGCCCCGCCCTGCGCCGGCCCGCGCGCCCCGGGCCGCCGCCGCCGCCGCCGCCCCGAGCCGGGGGCCGCGCGGGCGGGGGCTGCGGGGTGCGCGTGTGCGTGTGCCTGCCGGGCTGCTGCGCCCTGGGCTGCGAGTGCCTGTGACGGCCGCCCGCGCCGCTTACCCCCGCGCGCGCCATCGCCCCGCGGCCGCGACCTCGACGCTGCGCTCGCCGCGCGCCGCCGGACAGCGAGGGCGCCCGCGCCAGCCACGCCGGAGCCCGCCGCCCTCAGACTCACGCCCCCACACCCTCGTCATCCGCCCGCCTCCCCCCCGCCCCCCGCGGGGGCCGCGCGGCCGAGGAGGGGCCGGCGCGGGGGCCGGGCGCGGACAGCCCCGCGTGCGGGCCGCCTGCGAGCGGGACTCGGCCGGAGGGCGCGCCCTCGGGCGTCCGCGTCGGCCGCGCGCGCGGGGACGGGCCGGCGGCACGAGGTCGGCGCCCCCGGGACCCAGCCGGGGCGGCTCCCCGCGCGCGCGGGACTGGAGCGCGTCCCGCCCGCGAGGAGATGCGCCCCCCCCCCCCCCCCCCCCCCCCCCCCCCCCCCCGGCCGTCACCCGAGGACCCGCCGGCCGCGCCCATCCGCACCCGGAGACTGTCGCGGCTTCCGAGCCCCGGGACGTGTGCTGCGCCGCGGCCGAAGGCCCAGAAGTGGGACCGACGCTGTGAAGTTAGGGGACAAAGAGTTTGGCTCAGGGCAAAAAAGATTCTTCTAGCAATTGAAGCTCTCCACGAATAGAACAGACCGTCTGGAAAACGAATGAGCTAAAACCTAGAAGGATTCGCTTCCTTGGGACGACTTTCTCTTCAGAGACTCCGAAGTTCTAAGAAACAAACGTCGGAGAGACGAACACACTTCCTTTCCACAGGATGCGAGGCCGCGCTGCCCTTCGCGTAAACACTCATGAACGAACCTCTGTGCCTCTTCCAGCAGCTCCGAAATCAAAGCACTGAATGTTTAACCCAACTTGTATTTTCACGTCTGTGCGTGGGCGTCACCTGGTCCATCGCAATGTGGGAGAACTCCTACTCCGTGGTACCTGTAAGTGCAAGTAGTCTTGTAAAATAAGCCTAATATTCTGTGAGTAGATTCAAATAAATATGCTTAAGTGAAGGAACTTTATATTCTACTTCAAGAACACAAGAAAACTTGCTCAGTTGTTCATTCTGCAAAATAATGCTTTTTAGGTGGCAGGCTAATGCATAAACCGCCATTTTACAGAAGTCCTTCGAAAATGAAAACTAAAGACTGATACCAGCTGAAAGTGTAGAAAATACGTAATTTATGGCTCCCTAAATGGTTTGAAGCTTTGGCATTTGAGTACGTTGGTCGTCTACAAAATCTTTGTCTACTTGATTAAACTACATTTCAGTTATGCTGTGTAGAAAAACAACACTTTCACATGCCTTGAACATTGTGTAACCGAAGAGTTTCAGAATTACTGCTAAAAATCCCACTGAAATCTCCATTTTAAGCAATTTAAGCCATTTACAGCTCTTGGTGAGTGAACGTTTGTTTTGAGGTTATAAAACACTTTTTTTCTGACTAGCAGATAAATTGTTCCTGTTCTCTGTCACCTTTCTGGTAAAATAGGAATAAAGATCTGTACTCAAACACTGCTTATTATGTATTTGCTAAAAAGCGTGGGAGTCCTCCCGGAGAGCGAGACCGTCTACAGGGTAGTTTCCTAGCAATACTCAGGAAGTCTCGTTACAACGTCTCCTATGTAAGGTTCCGCAGCTTACCTGTGCCAGACTGTTGGTTCTGTGTGGTGGTCAACAAAATACCGTCTATTCTCTGATGACATCTCAACCTCTCTTCTTCTCCCTTGATTACCTTGGAAAGAGAAAATACTTCCCGAGTTTCACCTGAAAACACTCACCTATTTGCTAGAACAAAAAACTCAGTTTTGTGACACTAGAGTTGAGAAAATTTCTTAGAAACAGATGCAAAATGTTTCGTCTAATGTTTCCGCAGCCACCGTCAGATCTGTATGTATGCACACGTGAAATAAACATGTTAATTAAACCCAGGGGCGCCCGGGGGGCTCAGTCCTTTAAGCTTGCGACGTCGACTCAGGTCATGATCTCGCCGTTTGTGAGTTCCAGCCCCGCGTTGGGCTCTGTGCTGACAGCTCGGAGCCTGGAGCCTGCTTCGGGTTCTGTGTCTCCCCTGCTCTCGCTCTCCCCTCGCCCCTCAAAAATAAACATTAAAAAATTTAAACACAACAGAAAAAGACCATGATCTTCCTGTGGCATGCCTGGACTCTATGTCCTACCATGAGGAAGCCAGCCTTAAAAAAAGGTTTTTAATCCAAATTTTTTAAAAAAGGAGAAAAAGGCAACAAAATGCTCAAAACCAAGTTCCTCACGTTCTCTTAAAAATTAATGCCTCTCTGGCGCTCTTCGCTGAAGGTATCACCTTCCTTGTAGTCACAGATGATCTCAAGTCGTCTTCCTCCCTCTTACCCCTCGTTCACTCAGCCACTCCAGTACCAGACACAACTTCTAAGAGACCAAGCTGTTGGGAAAAAGCTTTCCAAAATTCCAAAAGCTGGTGCGAGGTTGGCCGCTTCCATATTTGGCTTCTTAGGTTACTGATGTACCCACCTCCCCAAGCTCCCTTCCCTCCTTTAAAGGACTGTCACATCGTCCCACCAGTTGTTCTCTTTATTGCTGCCATCTTGGTTAGAACCTGGCTCTACCACTACTTCTGTTCATCATTCTTGGCACCTCTAACATCCACACGGATCATTTCTTCAATACCCTAGCTTCTAAATGACTACCTTCACTCCAATTGTCTTTTCTCCCATTATATCTCAACTATTGTATGGTACTATACCGCATGCAAACAGATGGTTTCAAATACCTACTCTTTGACATAGTCACCTTCTATTTTTATTCACTTGTGTAAGTCTTTCATCTCCTCAGGTCTCGTATCTACCCTCTAACTGCCTACCTTCCTCCTACCACTCTTCTACTACGCATTCCATTCTTGAGTCCTTATTTGCTTCCTTGTCTAGAGTTCATGGTTCAGGTCTATTACCACATCCTTACAAACACCCTTAATCCCTTGTTCCTTTTTGCCTCTTAAGATTTGCTCAGAATAATCCCAACTCCATTGAAATCATACAACTTGGTTGACAAGACTCACTTCTAATTTCTGACCACAAATCTCAGATTAGCATTCAACACACACATTTATTACGTTTCCCCACTTCTATTCCCTTTTACCAAGATCACTAATTTACATTTCCTCCCTCTCAAGTCTCTACTACCCATTTTCCATCCTCACCAAATGTCCCACGTGCACAGATGAGAGCTGTTATTTTTTTTCTATCACCAAGGATGCTCACCTACTTGCACTCACTTTCATATAACCTGCCTCCTTTCCTGATACATTTCATAAACCCTTGACTCCAGTTCCCACTCTATCAACAATCTAATTTGCTTCCTTTTATAACAAAATGTTCCAAGCTGTCTTTATTCTTGCATTTTCCGCTCAGCCTACTCCAGTTGGATATTTATCTCCAGTGCTTCTCTGCGATAACTCTTAACAAGGTTGAAATGAGGTATAATAATCACCAAAGTCAACTGTGTTGATCTAATTATTACATTTTTTGCATCCTTTAACATACTTGAGCACTGCCTAGTCCTTATTCCTTTTGATTGTTAAATAGTGTATCTTTTCCCGTCTTTTCATTTTCAACCTGTCTGAGCCCTTATATTTAAAATGTGTCTCTTGTGGGGCACCTGCGTGGCTTAGTTGGTTAAGCGTCGGCCTTTGGCTCAGGTGGTGATCTTGAGTTTTATGAGCCCGAGCCCTGCGTCGGGCTCTGTGCTGACAGCTCAGAGCCTAGAGCCTGCTTCAGATTCTCCCTCCCTCTTTCTCTGCCCCTCCCCCACTCGCACTCTGTCTCTTTCTCAAAAATAAATAAAACATTAAAAAAAATAAAACGAAATGTGTCTCTTGTAAGTAACAGGTAGTTGGGTCTTTTTAAAAAATTTTTTTTGAAAAGTTTTTATTTATTTAATTAGAGAAAGGGGAGGGAGAGAGAGAACAAGAAGGGGAGGAACAGAGAGAGAGAAAGAGAGAGAGAGAATCTCAGGTGGGCTCTGCAGTGCAGAGTATGATTTGGGGCTTGAACTCATGAACTGTGAGATCATGCCCTGAAACAAAATCAAGAGTTAGGCGGATGCTTAATTGACTGGGCCACCCAGGCACCCCTGGTTCTTAGGTTTTTTAAAAAACTTTTTTAATGCTTTATTTATTTCTGAGAGAGAGAGAGAGAGACAGCATGAGCAGGGGAGGGTCAGAGAGAGAGGGAGATACAGAATCAGAAACAGGCTCCAGGCTCTGAGCTGGCAGCACAGAGCCCGACGCAGGGCTCGACCCCATGAACCGTGAGATCATAACCTGAGCCGAAGTCAGACGCTTAACCGACTGAGCCACCCAGGGGCCCCTGGGTCTTAATTTTTAATCCAGTCTGATAAGCTTTGTCACTTAATTAGAAAATGTAATCTTACATCTACTGTATTTGATAATGTAACAATTACTAATATAATTAGCATTTACTAATTATATAATTATTCATATAATTGGGTTTACTATTTTATAATTACCAATATAGTGTAAATACTAACATAATTGGGTTTAGTCCTGTTACTTGTTTTCTCTTTGTCCATCTGTTCTTTATTCCTTTATTTTTCCTTTTCTGCCTTTTTGGGATCAATCAAGTACTTTTATTATGTTTTGTCCTTCATTTCAAAAACTTCTATTTTGAAATAATTTCAGGTGTATAGAAAAGTACAAATACCTCTATATACCCTTCACTCAAGTCCATTAATTATTAACATTTCTCCACATTTATCATTGTATTTTTCCTGATATCAGGACCCTTTGTTCCAAAATACTTTAGGATGTATTTCTAAGGAGGACGGGCATTCAGTTATGTAACCACAGTGTCATTATCAAAGTCAGGGAATTTTATAGTTAATAGTCATATTATCTAATAGACCTATTCACATGCAACCGTCTCTATAGTGCCCTTTAGCGCAAATTTCCCCCAGTCCAGGATTTGAATGAGGACTATGCACTCATTTTGTTGACTTGTCTCTAGAGAGACAATCTGGAGCAGTTTCTCTGACATTCTTAGTCTTTCGTGATCTTAACATTTTTGAAAAGTTCAGGCCAGTGATGTTGAGGACGTCCCTCAATATGGGATGCTTCCTCATGGGCAGGTCCAGATTAGGTGTTTTGGGGAAGAATATCAGCTAAGACATCTTGGGTGATCTCAGAACATCCCATCGGGAGGCATATGGTGTTAATTTGTCTCATTATTAGTCATGCTATTTTTGGCCACAAGGGTGTCCACCAACTTTATCCAAAAGTAGGATTTTCCCGTCTTGTAACTTATGAGTAATTTGTGGGGAGATTCTTTGGGGGCTGTGTAAATATACTGTTCTCATCAAACTTTCTCCACTTGCTTTAGAACAACTGATTCTTGAATCAGTTACTATTGTGGTGGTTGCAAGATGGTGATTTTCTATCATTCTTTCTATATTTGTTAGTTGTTCTCTTAGGTTTTTAATCATATATTCTTTCGTTTCAGTTGTTATTCTAGAGACTTCAGTATGTATCTTTGGTTTG